CTTTCCCTTGTTATTTATTTCGGCCATAGGCCTCATTTGAAAACAGATTGTATTCTTCATTTCAAGATAGAAATACACTGGTTGTATTCTGTTTTCAAATCCTAATTTCTATATCTTAAGGTTGGTTTCCTTAAGTGTGAGTGTTAGGTTCTAGTATTTCATTAAGTGTGTTATATCTTAATTGAAATCTAGATTTCAACCCCAAGAAAGGATAAGAGTGTGTTATATCTCTTAGACCTCCTTGGTTTATCCCCGTTACTAAAACACTTCCTTTTTGTTCCTTGAAACTGCCCAATAATCGATTACCAGCTTGGAATAATCGATTATCCACTCACGAGAAACATCTGCAGTCACCAATAATCGATTTTCATATTTGTGAAAATCGACTATCAACCCCTTCAGAAACTCTCCACCAAATCCTTTGAGAAACTGAACCCTTCCATAATCGATTATCTCTTTAGGTAATCGACTATCACTCCTTCTCCATCTAAAACCACTGTTTTTCCTCAAACAACCTACGCCCAGATCCAACACGGCCCTGGTCTGAGAAGACATGTCGCCGGTTAGTGGTGGCGACAGCGGCAGAGGCCCTGTTACGTCTCTTCTCCGAACCAGCGATAAGTAGAGGATGAACGGACACAAGAGAGAACTGTGAAAAGAAACGAAGAATTGATAAAAGAACCGGCTGCAATTAGGGAATGTGCAAAGTCTTGTTCAATTAATTTCAATATGATTGCTGGCAGTCCAACTTAGCAAGATTGAAGCCACGTCATCTGCCATGTGTCAACCCCACAGCCAAAGAACTTTACTTTATATATATACATGCAAGTTCAGCAAAATGCAAATACGGAGTACTTCAAATCTTCAATGCTAAAAAATTCAGTGTGCAGAAAAAAAGGAACCTGGGGTCAAGAAAAGGGAGATGGTTGAGAGGGCACTCATCAATCACAGAAATATCAACTGGGCTTCTCATCCATGGTAGCACTGGCACCTTATTTGTCTCGCTTTTCTTCTTCTGTTCCGTTGCTTCCTCCATATCAACGGCTAACTTCTCGTTTGGACTCCCCAACAAACACCAAGCAGGCAATCCACTACGCTTAGGTCACTACTCTATGGAGAACGTATAAGGTAGCAGAGGCCTGCCAAACAATACAAAGGAACAACTACAAAGCTGCCTGAAAATTTGAATTACACAACAAATCATTTTAAACTGTTCCAAAAAATATGGAAGATACTCCATTATACCCAACTTCATATGAGAAGCAAATATACTGTATAATATAAAATTATGCCCCATCAAATGTTGAATAAAAACCTCTTTGAAAGAAGAAGAAGATTCGCTGGCCCAAGCACCTCTTTGCCAAAATATAATCGTACCTTTGATCTAAGGTGCAGAAATCAAAGATTTGAATTCGAAACAAATCAAGAGCAGTTTCACTTGAGAAGAAGCATGTTTGTTAAATGCTAACATATAGAATCAACGCTGATTAGATAAAACATTCTTCAAACCCTCAAATGTACCCCAAGCATACAAATCTTCACCCACCCATTCGTATAGGTAGTTTACCTTTTTATTCATGCATTCCCAAGTACTCTTATTAGGTTCTACTGTGTAAAGACATGTGAGGTATAGCTAAGGAGAAAATTGAAAGAGTTCTACATATTAAGACCGGAAATTTGCCTGTCAAGTGCCCGGAAGGCAAAATAAGCCAGGGGAAAATCAAGGAGAAATAGAGTACTCTGTATTTTGTTTTAACTTGCCAAGTTAACATAAATGGAGCATTTATGTTTGTAACGGGATAGGGTATTTTATACTTTTTGGCTCTGTGTGTTCATGTGAATCATAAGATTTTGATGTTGCATGACGCACGAAGTACATTTGTCCAATGTTATTTTTCTTATTCACACTTCATTTGTGTAATACTCCGGATTGTAGGTTGTGTTCTTTTAACTGACATGGGAGTATATAGGGTTTATTTCTAATATAGTCAATCTTTTTCTTGTTAAAATATTGAATTTTAACAATCTAAGATTGTATTATGAGCTCGATAGACTCATGTATTTCCTTAATACCAGAATAGGTTGAATATCAAAAAACAGTGTGCAAATATGCAATAGATTCACACTTAAGGCCTACTGGATATGAATTTCGATCCGGAGCAATTGAAAATACTATTAAGCATGACAATGAATTAGATAACATTAAAAGGGCACTATGCTTTCTGAAAAGACTAAAGCATGAAAGGGAGATAACATTATGATCATCCATGAAGGAGACACTGAAATTTAAAAAAGAAATCAATGGCATAGTAGAAAATCGAGATGGCCACCAGCACTTAAAGAAGCCCTAATCTCTATGCATAAAAGTGTGTTTGGTTTGAGGAAAGGAAGAAATGAGTCTAAAACACTTAATCTACTTAAGAATTCAAGAAAAACAAGACCGGAGTGTTAGAAATATGGGGCTCATATCATTTTATTTGAATGGGTAAAGGAAAGAAGATACAGCCATGGCTGCAAACCTCAGTTTCTTCTTGATTTGCCCTGCCAAGATACAGATCAAACTTCCTCAACCCATGAATCTCCTAAGAATATTATAATATCATCACAGCCTAACAAGATTGGTGGAGAAACAGCAAGCGTGGTATGCTTGTAGCATTCTTTTCAAACTACTACTACGTACTGAATTTCGAAAGGGCTGTTATATTTGAAGGGCAGCCTGAAATCATTCAAATCATAGGCATGCAGGGAGGGGAAACCACCCTTAGAAAACCCGCATCCCCTCTGCAGCCTCATGAGATTAGTACTACATGTGAGTAAAACACTTCTTACGGGGCAATTTCAGAACCAATCTCAATATGTCATCCTCAGATTGAGCCTCAGATCTGTGTTTAAAAGTCATCCATGGTTAAGAAGACGACCCGTGTGGCTGCAATCCTGGATTGCCACGCCATCAACGGACAGCTTTCTCCATGGCCGACGAAATAATAAAATGTATCATCGATTCATCACAGACTCATACGCCGATTATGCCGGTGCTTAATCGGGCACCGATTCCATGGACGGCCAAGTGCCTATAAGTTGAAGACAAGAAGAAGAAGAAGAAGAAGAAGAAACGAGACGAGTATGATGATGATGATGAATAAACATATAAAGGGCTGTTTAAGTTTTGAGAAATCATTGGCACGCAGAACGGGAAAACCACCCTTAAGAAATCACCATGGCACTCTGCGGCCTCAAACCCTCAATCGTCCCCGACCTTGAAAACGCCTGCCGGCACTAGATGAGTTTTTTATGAAATTGAGGAGAAAAAAGGTTGGAATTTACTCCGGTATGAAATCAAAGAAAGAATCGCAAGGAGAGAAGGGTATATGGTAGAGGCGTACACAGCCCATTCTACATTTGATCAATATTAAGCCCAATCATTTTCATATATTTGTTCAATACAATTATACGTAGTATTATTTATTTATGAAGAATATAATGTTCAATCTGAAAAATCACTCTAAATAAAATTAAAAAGGAGTTTGGCAATGCGTTGCTTTTAATAATTTAGATTTTGTTTTGAGTGGAAGTAGTTTTACTCTGTTTGGCATTTCAGCTTCTGCTTTTCATCACCACTATTTTGAGGGTGTTTGGCACTGCACTCCTTTTAATAATTTAGCTTCTGCTTTGAGTGAAAGTGATTTTATTCTGTTTGGAATGTCCACTTTTGCTTTTCACCACCACTATTTTATACACAGAACACTGTTTTGAAGAAGCAGGTATGAGGTGTTTTTGCTTTCAGCTTTTGTAGAAATCACTTTATCAAAAAGTTAATCACTCTCAAACAAGCTCTTTGTACATAGAACACCGTTTCGGAGAAGCAGGTATGAGATGTTTTAGCTTTCAACTTTTGTGGAAATCACTTTATCTATAAGTTAATTACTCCCAAACACCCTCTAAAAAAAAGAAAAAGTACCAAAATAATAGTCATGTTTTTATTCTCTAAATAGAAGTACATGGTCATGATTGATAATGTAAATGCATTTTAACACCTATTTTGGAAATAAAACAATGAACCTCATATATTTTGTATATTTGTAATGTTTTACTCTTACTTTATTCTTTCTCTTTATTCTGCAACAAAATGATACTCATTCTCAAATACCGTAGTGTCCATACTCAAGTAACGTTTCATTCATCCTCTTCAGATTTGGAAAATATAATCATATAATCTAATCAAACTTACATTACTCCAATTAGCATAGTCATCTTCATCTTCATCTTCATCGTTGTCATTGCTGCAAATCTCCACGAGGCATCAACAATCGCTAGACCTAGGGTTTCTCAGTTCTGTCCCGATGAATAGCGCCTCAATCATCGTTCGCATCTGCACCTAGAGTTGTTGCTCTTCCACGCAGACTTACGGCAATCCAGCTCTTTTGTCATGTCGCACCTAGAGTTCTTCTTGCGACAATCTAGCTCTTCCGCGACTGCTCCTCGTGGCCATTTCATTTTAAAGCTGGTGGTACCCAACTTTGGGTACAACCGGTTGTATAATATAAATTGCGCAAAAAGAAAATCGTGATCTTTTTATGAAGGTATCCATAAAGGGTTTGTTACAAAAATGTTTCAAAAAAAAATTGAAAAATTATTGATATCTAAAAGTTTTAAATTTCAATTACAAAAAAAAAAAGATGAACCTTATCTCTGAGGATCCCTCAGAACTGACCGGACGATAACCTATGAAAAAGTAAATTAAGTTTTAATCATAGATTGATGGCAAAGAGTAGAGCATCTACCAGACACTTGCAGAGATTCGATTTTTAACATAATTGTCTCTTATCTTGCCAACTTCGTAATCCCCACCCGCTAAAATTCTATTTGCATATTACATAATATGAGGTTTGAATGGTTTGATAAGACAAAGGGTTGGGGCGAGGGCGGGGGGGGGGGGGGGGGGCACAAGCCAATTCCGACTAGTTGTATTTGATTTGAGTATGTCCAGATTCTTAAGTATCAGTATTGTATTTCGATTAATTGGATAGTCCTTGAAATTTGATGAAAATTTAAGTTTCACAAATGATACTGTAATTTTATAGAATGATACTACCTCCGTCCTATTTTATAACGCCTGTTTCGGTTTACGATGTTTGACTGAAATTATTTTCAAACCATTTTATATGACAAATGGTATAGAATTAAAAAATAAAAATTACATATTAAAAAACTACATCAAAAGATCTACAAAACTAGTAGTGACAATAATATTTTATTTTATCAAATTGCTAACGAAAATAGAGAAAGAAAGTGAATGAAGTTTGACCATGTGAATAGTAAACAGGCATTATAATTTGGGAGGGAGGGAGTAATTTATTGTTACCAATTGAGGTTTTATTTTTAAGTTGGAAAATGGATGATTTTGGGGTATCAAAATGGCTCAATTACCAAGGAAGCATAGTGTCAATGTTGTTATACTCCGTATATTGGAAACCAATCTCCCGGAACTTGAAACCTGCTATGAAAAAATGTTCCCTTTTCATCCCAAATTAAGTTGTCAATCACTTATTTACAGTGTCAAATTTCATTTTTTTCTCAGTTGATTAGTTTTTTAAATATAGAGTAAGTTTTATTTTTAATTCTACTCC